GCTTGTGCACAATTTATCCCAGAGTTGTTTTTATAGCTCCTTGGTTTTCATGATCCTATTTGTTTAGCTATGCTCTCCAACACACTCTTGGATCTTCAAGAGATCATGTGGGATGGCACACAGATAGCCTGAATTCATGACTTGCAGTGGGTTGCGCTAGCGCTTATTCGGATGTGCACAACAAATGGGGTGAACACACATGCAACCAACAAGTGTTGGATTATTTTTGTTTTCTTAACCTTTGTGCCATGGTAAAACTATTTTCCCTGTTGGATAAACACCTTAATGTACTGAGGGAGTTTGAAAGTGTCAAGAGCAATTCTTCCAGGAGGCAAGACTCTCTCACTATTCTGGCATCTGAGTAGGGTTGCCCAAAGTGGAATGCTCAAAGCTGAGACACCAGACTAAGGTGTATCCACCCTCCTTAGGAGTAATGATCAAACAGCTACTGGTAAAGATCAAAGGACATGTATGAATACTGCTACCACTGATGAAACAACAGGATCAGAGTAAAAAAGGAAGTCTAATGGCTGACATACACAGAGGCAAAAGGAAAATCTGATGCTGTACAGCACATACAGTTGGCACATGAGAAGTATAAACCAGGGGAAACTGGAAACGGTAATGCAAGAAATGGAACAGTTACAAATAAGAGAGAAAAAACAAACAAGAGACCTCTTTCAAAAGCTCCAAGAAATCAAAGGAAAATTCAAACCTAGATTAGGAAAGCTGAAATACAAACAAGGGAAGATATTATCTGACCAGGAGAAACTAAAGAGAAGATGGTAACAATATATGGAAAAACAATACAGAAGAGATCAAAAGAAAACAGACTCTTTTGAATGAGAATCCTATGAGGAACCACCTGCAATCTTAGGAAGCCAAGTGAAAGCTGCTGTGAAAGTACTTGGAAGGAATGGAGCTCCTGGGGAAGATCGACTACCTATACGTACAATAAGGTACTTATCTTCTAAAGTTGCTTAGACTGAATCAATCCAGTTCCTAACAAGACTATGCAAATAAATTGGGAAATAAAACAATAACCCACAGATTGGAAACATTAAGTATTCATTCTATTTCCTAAGGAATGAGATGCTAAGGAGTGCAGCACATACTGGACTATTACACTAATTTCCCATGCAATCAAAGGGAAGCTTGAGCTGCAGCAACAAAGAATTTAACCCTGTATAGGGATAAATTTGAGATGTATAGGAATGTTATATTCTTTCTGGCATCAGGCAAAACCTTTTTTCTTTTCCCCCTATTTTAATGTTTAATTGATTTTAACTGGGGTTTTAGTATAGTAATGGTCAGATGCTGTGGGGTTTGTTTTATTCTACTTATTTATTTTAAGCCATCCTGAGATGTTTGTATGGGAGGGGATGGGAGAGAAAAGCTTTTAATAAATAAATAAATGAATGAATAAATAAATATACCTGATGTTCAAGCTGGATTCTGAAAAGGAAGAGACACTTGAGATATATGTTGTCTACTAGAGTGCACTAAAAAAATTCCAAGATCAGTCTATGTTTTATAAACTAAAGCAAAACCTTAACTGTGTAAATCATGAGAATGTATGGATGGTTCTGAAAGAAATGGGTATGCCCCAGCACTTGACAGTCTGGAGGCACAGCCTATATCATGAACAAAAAGCTACTGTTAAGGCAGAATTTGGAGTAACATAATGGTTTTCTATAGACAAAGGCATCAAGAAGGGTGAATTGAATGCAGAATATATCACAAGCAAAGCCGAACTAGGTTTAGAGAAAGCATGAGTGAAAACTGGCAAAGACAACATCAGCAATTTAAGATATGTAGCTATCATATTATTAACTGAAGGCAGCAATGAATTGAAATGATTCCAGATGAACATGAAGGATAAAGTGCAAAAATAGGACTACAACTGAAAATCAAGAAAACAAAAATCATGATTACAGAAGAAATGCATAGCTTTAATGTCAACACTGAAGCAATTGAAATTGGGGGGGGAAATTACATACAATTGTATAGCTCAATTCAAATGGATGCTGCAGTCAAGAAATTAAAAGATGACTGAGACTTGGAAGGGCAACAATGAAAGAGCTACAAAGATCATCAAGTTTAAAGATGTTTCTCTGCAGACCAAGGCCAAGATCACACTATTGTCAGGAAGACACACTATTGTCAGGAAGACATCACAGGAAGACACACTATTGTCTCCTGATTGCTATGTATGGGTGTGAAAGCTGGACAGTGAAGAAAGCTGACAGGGAGAATATTGATGTGTTTAAAATTTGGTACTTGAGGAAAGATGGGCAAATGCATGGGACAGACAGAAAGACAAAGAAGTGGATCGTAGATCAAATAAATCCAGAAATTGCCCTGGAAGCAAAAATGGCAAAACTAAAACTGTAATATTTTGGGCACATGAAAAGGCAAGGCTTACTGCAGAAGATGATAATGCTAGGGAAAGCTGAAGGCAAAAGAGTGGGAGGAGAAGACCAACTATGAGATGGCTTGATTCCATATAGGGAGCCACAGCCTTGAGTTTACAAGAACTGAGTAGGGCTATCAAGGACATGACATTTTGGAGGGCATTCATTCATAGGGTTGCTCTAAGTCAGATTTGACTTGATGCCATATAAACTCACAAGGATAAGAAGATTGCAAGAATACTAAAAGATGTCGGGCAAGCACCTGTGCAGAAAGTAATATTTTCAGGAGAGAGTCTAAGGAACTGAAATAAATAGGTATAACAAAATGAAGTTCTAAATCTTATAGAAAGTGTTGGAGGGTGGGATAACGGTGGCCGAGGGGAGATCCACCTAAGGGTTCTCAATGAACACAAATGAGTCACTGTTGTGATGGGTTAATTCCATAAAGGAAGCCAGATCCTTGAGTTTACAGGAACTGAACAGGGTTGCCAAGGAGGGGGCATTTCTGAAGACATTCCCTTCATAAGGTCACAGTTAATTGGAGATGACTTAATACTATGTGATGACAACAACCAATACTTTCATCTATGCAGTGCCAAGTATCTTGTGAACATCAGACAGTAACAATGCCAATTACATCCATTTCAGTTCCAGGTGGTAATACAACAAAATCTGGAAAAGATAAAGGGAGGTGAATATTTCTGCAAGGTACCATATGCTCAGACAGGAAAAAAGCCCTATAATTCACAGTAATGCTTGTAGGACTTCTGTTTGCATTAGATTGCACCCTAAGTCTCTTTTAGTTCTAGTTAACCTTACACACAGTAATAAAGATTTTCCTCATGGTTCTATTTTCTTCCTGACCAATTAAAGTGCCATATACATGTTTTCCTCCCCTAGCCGAGTCCTGCATGTGTCTACTTTTAGCTTGAGAATTCTGCTTGCATTTGAGCATCCTTTACATCCTTCTTTGTAAGCTATCACAAAACAGTGGGCAGCATTATGGCATTCCTCACTGCATTTAGGGTTTCACCATCATGTATATTTGCCTTGGGTCATCTTTAGTCCATCCACTCAAGAGTCTTTTAGGACTAGGTGACATTCAGCCCAGGCATCACACTTGCTTCATTTGCTTCGTTGTATCACACATGTGACTTGCCATTAATTCCTTGTTTAATCATGTTTAGCATAATTTTAACTTCTGCCCTGTGTTTTTAATTGCTGGACTCAGCAAAGCACTCTTGTTTTCTTTCCTTCTTCCTTCTGCCTCTTTGTGGATGCAGTAAGCAGCTGGGCCAGTTCCATGTGACTGAAAACAATTAAGAGCTTATCAAAGCACATCCATTAATCTCAAAGAAGAATCTCTCCCAAGGTGTTTATGGGGCATTTCTCCCATATCCACTTCCACACTGTCCTGTATCTTCTAGATTTATCTTTCATTTAGCATCTTTCTTGGACTCAGGATCCTCATAACCTGTTGTTTTTGTTATTTTAATTGCTGAGGACTTCACTGTAATTTGGCTGAGATTTGGAGCAGAACATGTTATCTATAATCCAAGTTTCTCACAGACACAGGATCTTGATGTAATGGGGAAACGGATGACTAAGTATCAAAGTAGCAAACAATATGAAACAAATACCTTAAGGGCTTAATCTCACTGGGATACCTCTAAGGTTATTGTTGTAAGCTGCCCCGAGGCTTCGGCGAATGGGGCGGCATAAACATGTTTTAATAAATAATAATAATAAATAAATAAGGTCGGAGCTTCCGCAGAGCCATTTCAATAGATGGGCCTTTTTGTCCCTTTAGCTGGAGCATTTCAATGGAAACAGGAAGACAGTTCGATTGACTTCAGGTTACCTTGCATTCTGGTCTTCACCTCTCCTGTAACCTCCTCCATGCCTCTTTTTACCCTTTTCTGAGGTCACCTTCCTGACCTTGGAGAGAAGCCGGCAAGGTTCTTTCCATTCTATCTGAGAAGATGACAGGGAGGGAAAGAGGAGTCAAAGTTCTGATTCCCTGGTGGGGAGAAGGAGGGAAAGGGGAGAGGACTTGGGGTTATGCTGGCATCAGCACACTGGGAATTGTAAGCCTTTCTTCTGTTTAAATGCACATAGGCTTATACCTTTTTGTCTCTGTCCCAGTATAGAACAGCATGGACATGAATGCAGGTAGTCTAAACTGTCACTGGGTCGAACTCATAGTCTGCTTCTACATGAAGGATTTATGATGCTAACAATCTGAATACATTATGAAGCTATTCCATCTTTTCTACGTTAACAAGATGTCTGTAATAAGGAAAAGGAGAAGAAGCAGAAGGGTTATGAATGGAGAATGACACTGGAAAGAGACCACCACCGTTCCCCCATGAAGTTCAGTGAAGGAGGCAGGATGATAGCTTTATTTATTTATTTATTTATTTATTTAACACATTTGTATTTCTCCCAATTGTGCCACAGCACCTCTGGGTGGCTCACAACACAAGAAAAAACACAATAAAACATATTGCACATTAAAAACAACAATAAAATACAGTAAAACATACAAAACAAAGGTCTATGGCAATTAGTTATTGATTTTTAAAAAAAAAAGCTTTGCAAAATACTCTCCTCATCTACCCAAATAGCGATTATAAGGAGAAGGCAAAAGGATTTTCTCAAAAACAACTCAGGGGAGGGGCCCAACTTTACTACCAGCAACAGCATAATGGCTTCTTTTTTCCCATAAGATTTTTTCAGGGGAGAGGACGACCCTGTTGCTCCTCACTCCTGGCATTGCTTGGCAACGTTGTGGGGGTAGGAATAGTTACCATGAAAAGGAAAGCAGGGGAGTGGAGAATATTCAGAGAAAATTTTACCAACCGACTTAATTTTTCTGAAGAAAAATATATCTTTGGAAGTTTTTCCAGCCCATCTTTAGGCTGATCAGCAACAATCATGGACATTATTTCAATAACATAAAAATCAATGCACCCCAGAAGGATTGTGGGCACATGAAAACTGGTTGAGGGACTGCACACACAAGCAGAACCAGCCCAGGTTGTTCAGGGGTGCTTCCAATGGAGAATTGCATTTCCACTTTCTGCTGCCTTGAAATTACTGCTGTTCTTCTCTATGCCCATAGCTTAGCCCCCTTTCTCCACATAAGCATCCAATAATGTTCTGTCCACAGAGCAAGCTTGTTTTAGTTTGTGAAAAGCAGAGCCAGACCTTTCATATGGCAGGGTGAAGCCCTCAGTTCAGGTGGCAGAGAGGTAGAAGTGGTAAAATTCATGTTCCCCTCATCTTGCAGGATGGTCCACCACCATTGCCTCTAGCAGATGCTCCAGAGAAGCCCACCCACATGTTTTCTTCTGTAGGTGTAGGAACAAGGCTCTCTCGAGCAGCTCCCCACTCACGCTCAGCTACATTGGCCCTTGGGGGTTCCACAGATGGCTATGCCCACCCACTCTGTTCCCATCCCCTTTTTTCAACTACCAATCATTTTGTGGTTTCCTTACTTGTAGTTTTCTCCTCCATTCTAGATGGTTGAATACTTCTCCTAAGGCTTAGTAGGAACTTTAAATTCAAATTAGCTAGTATTATTGGCATCTGAGCCCTGATCCTTATGCTTTTGGCCTAACTCACCACTGGAATGTGGCCTCTGAGAACCTTTCCAGAGCACGACTCAGCCTGCAGGTTGAAAGAGATTTGAGATCCCTGGTTTATAATGAGCACAAGCTCAAGAGTCCTGCAGGCAGCTTCTGGGAAAAGGAGCTGCATATGGAGAAATTGCCAATGGATAATTTTGAAGTGCACACAGTCAAAAAGCTACTGAAACAGTACCAAGTTCCCCCACCCAGCACCTGGAAGTATCTACTGAAAAATACTGCAGGAAGGGATATTGTAGAGTGGCACTCAAACAGGAAATGGCAGGCTACATTACGCACAGCATTTTGTGACACTTCTCCTGCCAGGGGCTCATTTGTGATTTTTTCTCATCCACATTTGGGGACATTGCACTTTTGTGCTTTTTTTAACTGAAATAAAAAACTGGATCTTCTGAGGTCTAACAAAAATAGAAGAGACATTGGGGAAAGAGGGAAGACAATGGTACCAGCATGACCACCCTGTGTCCACCCCCTAAAAAGTGAGTAAACCAAAGAGGGTGATCCCACAACACCTATTTAACACCTGACTCCACCAAGTCAGAGATCTGAAGCAAGTAGGTGACATCTATCTATCTATGAGCATATGCAGGTTTGCATATACATTCATGACTCCCTTTGTCCTCATTCTTGGTGATCCATGAGTGGCTGGAGTTGGTCTTTCTGCCATGCCCAAGGCACCTCCACATATGCTCCAGTTTGGGTGATAGGCACATCGCAGCTCCACCACTGTACCAGTATTGCAGGACCATAAGTGTGCTTGTGGCCCACCATACAAATAAATTGGGACAAATATCATTTCCAATTAGGAACGTAGGAAAACTGATGAGATATTTAGCATTCAGCAGAGTCACAAAGTCTTCAAAGAACATCAGTGATAGGTCCTTGGTGTTCCCTCTATGAGGCAGAAAGGTAAGGAAGCATGACAGTAATTTAATGCATAGAGAGGCTGGAGTAGAATAACTATGTCAAAAGCCACCAGTGTTGATGAATTGGACACCTTTGCAATTTGGCTCAGGTTGCAGCTTAGACAAGCAACATGCACCCTCTTTGTAATGTTGGCCCTCCGAGTTTTAACTGCATAATTAATGTGGCAATGAAGCATGTGCTATTTGTACCATTAAAATGAATCACAGCATTTCTTGCAAAAATGAATTTCTAACAAGTTGTGGCCAGCACTGTAAAAATTAGGCTTTCTTGCAATGAGCTCTATGATAGAAAGCACTGTGTGATTTATCTCAATATTATTTTATTAGCACTTGTTAATTGCTGTGGCAGATAAGTAGCAGTGGCCATTATCTTAGCAAAACATTTGTATGAATAATGTCACATAAGTTGCAGGAATATTTCAACCATATTAAGGGTTGCTTCGAGATTCAAAGCCTATTTATCCTGCATGGCACATATTATGGAGAAGGCTGTAATAATATGCTTTTGCCACCAGGCTTTTTGACAGAAATAATACCCTTTTATCAAGTTTCTGTATAGAAAGGCACACAAATTACAAATTCCATTATCAGATTCCCCTCCCTCTTGCTCCGTGTTTATATCCCTTTCATACATTCATTTTTTAATGTGGGGGAAATCACTACAAAGTGAGTTTTCCTTGTCATTTTTAGATATTCCAACTTTCTGATGCCTTTCCTGCCTTCCCCATCTACCAGTCTGTATGTGTACAAGAAAATGCACAGAAATGCAGGAGTCACTCTTTGGACTATAAATGCTTCAGACAGCTTCTTTTTGCACAGTTGTCGCTGATTGCAATTACAACAGTTATTTGACTGATCACCTTTATTCATTAATTTATGTCTTTCTCTGATGCCATCAGCATGCATGTCACTACAGAGGACAAATCCTCGTCACTAGGAACTTACAATTTAAATTCAACACAAGGGAAATGGGAAAGAAAGGAAAGAGGGGAAATTCTGTGGTTGTTTCCATTGCATATGTTTATGCTGTATTACAGATGAGCTTTTGCCTATAAATCATTTGGGAAAAGGTAACATATGTTCTTAGTTTTGAGATTATCCACATGGGTGTCATGTCAGTCAGGGACGAAAATTTATTTTCTTCAAAGATATTATCTCTCTTCTGTAGAATGCATGGTTTTGATACCATTCTTAAAGTAAATCTAGTCTAGTTATTCTGGGAGGAGCTTAACTCAAAATCTCTCTATTTCTTCAGAATACACTGAAATTCTGTAAATAGCTATTTACTTAGGAGCAAACCTCACTGAATTCAAGGAATCTTACAAATGAGTAGGTATGCCTACGGTTGCATTCTTAATTGAACGATTTAAACATTGCACTGGCTTATGTTATTCTGCAAAGGACTGTGTACCCACAGGAGTTTAAATTTCCTCTGAACATTCCCCAGGCTGGGATAAAATGCTACAACTTTTCAGAACTCAAAGTAGACAGAAGAGAATTATTTTTCCACCCTGCCTGAGATATGTGGGAAGTTATTGAGGTGAAAAATCATACATAGCATTAGTGGCTTCTTCCGAGGCAGTTACAGGTGCTGCATTTGCCATAAAACTGTTGAGAGCAGCAAGTCTTTGTTAGGTGGAGGAGAAAGACAGAGCTGAGTCTCTTCCCTTAGGCCCCTCCCTAAAATCCCTTCCTGCCTTCCTAGTAAGCTCTACGTGTGAGAAGACAAACTGTTCATGCCCATTGGAACAGAGGCCTACCTATAATACAGCATGATTGGTATACATGTTGAATATGCTCTTGGGGTATGGCAGAGAATATTTCAAAAATGAATTAAGAGCATCACAGTTTTCTAACAACAAACTCTAAAATGCTGGAAAATCAGAATCAAACACTAATTATGGCTGACCATTACAGCATACAGTCAAGTAATTAATATAATCATCCTTTAAAAGTGAGATCTTATTATGAGGGAAGTAGTATCAAACTCATCTAAAAAATTATTCACTGCTATTTGTTATTAAAGGAGAGGAAAGCTGTGATAGAATGACTCTGTGCAGCTCTGCTTCCGCTGTTTGGTTTCATTCTCCATATGCAACCTACTTATCTTTGGCAGCTTCTGGGAGCACTCTGGATAGAGCATGACCTTAGTATTATTTTATATGTGGTATAATGACATTTTCTGTTGGCTTAATGCATATATTAGATAACTCTGTTAGTCCAGACAGACAGGAACTATGGCAAATAAGGATTAACGTCTGTTTCATGCATGGTAATTTCAGTGCTGCGTTTCCTTTTCTGGTGTTCAAGGTATTCTCTGGATTCATGGAGCATATCCATGTAGGACGTAAGTTGGTTCCTGAAAATGGAAACATTGCTTTGTCAGAACCCTGCATAAAGCCAACATGGAAGTGTTTGCTTTCCTTACATTGAGGAACACATGAAGAGGCATCTGGAAACACACAGCAGAGAGAGGGTCAACTGGGACTCCCTAAAGGGAATTCCATAGTCTGGCAGCAGCTACTGAGAAGGCCCTTTCTCATGTCTCACCAAATGCATATCTGAAGGTGCCAACAGCCCAAAGAGGAGCCTTTCCTCAAGATCCTAATGTTATTCAGGGTTATATGGGAGCAGCTGGTCTTCCAGGTTCTCTGATCTCAAGCTGTATAGCAGGAGTGGCCAAACTGTGGATCACGAGTTGCTCTTTGAGTTTATCTTATGACTTGCAGAATGGCCAAAAAAGCCCAGCTCAGCTCTTCTGCTGAGCAGCCAAGCCGGCACAAGCAAAAGCAGGGAACCAGGTGCGACTCTCCTGCTGTCATAACCAGTTGTAGTGCTTCAATCATGTGAGCCTCAACCAATCCAGGCTCAATCAGCATCTGAGCCAGTGAATACAAAAACCCTCCAGGAAAAGATGCCCAAATCTCCTGCTTTGGTATCCAGGCTCATCACTTCTGAGCCTCCGACAGCAGTTAGTCTTGTGTCTGTGCAGAGCACAAGAGCCCTGCAGAGAACAAGTTTCACTGCCTAGATAGAGACTCACACGACCTCTCCTAGCAGTAACTAGCTGGATAATTGTAGCAATGTCTATTTGGTCATAATGAATGAATGAATGAAACTTGTTCATGACCTGCAGCTTTCAGACATCTGACATTTACCATATGTGGCTCTTCTGTTGAACAAGTCTGGCCACCCCAGTCATATAGAGCCTTATAGGTCAAATCCTGCCCCCAGACAAATGGAAGTGTGGTAACAAAGGAGCCACATGCTCTCTGTCACCAGACACAGTCAACAGTTCGGCCACAGTCCTCAGGACCAGCTGAAGTCCCCAAGCAGCTATAAAGGGCTGCTTTAATATAGAGCACATTTAATATAGAGCACCTGTAGCACATTACAGGAAGGCAAATGGTATGGATAGAAGGCAAATGCACCCCTAGCACTGCCAAAACTGAGGCGTCCTGATTCAGGGCCGTGTCCAGGAGTATCCCAAACAACAAGCCTGAGTCTTCAGGGAGAATGTAAGCACATTCAGCATGGGTTGAATCCACAGTGCCTGGCCTGGCCACATGCTATCCCACACATTATCTGAAGGTCTGAACACAGCCAGCTGGAACACATGCGCACAGAATGATCAAGGAACTCCAGTGATATTCGATGCAGATACAGAGCATTGGGATGAGCGATCTCAATGGCTTCCCAACCTGACACTCTCCAAATGTTTCAGACTGCAACACCTATCATTCTCAGTGAGCATGGGAATGAACTCAACCATCATGTACTCTTCCCACAGTGGCCTGGAGATGCATAAGGATCTGCCAGTGCAACGAAGACTCTTGCCAAAGCAGACACTGCAATTGCCCAGGGAAACCCTAGGCCAGCCTTTTCCAACCTGGTGTCCTCCAGCTCTTCACGAGGGCTGAATAGGACTGTGAAGGACTGGATTTTCTGGAGGGTACTCTTTCATACAGCCACCATACAACAACGACAACCATAACAACAACAAGCCATGTGGCTGTGTTCTGCTAGAACTTCATCATTCCCAGCTGGATCCTAATGAGAGCTGCAGCCAGAGAACACCAGGTTGGGGAACAGCTGAAGTGCATGCCTTTCTCAGATGCTCCAACCTTCAGAGTTTAGGTGGGTTGCCACTGGGAAACTGCTTTGGGATGCTCTTTCCCAGTGTACCCTGGTGCTCCATTTATGCAATGTCCTTCCTTTAGCTTCATCAGCAATTATTCTTGCCTCTTTGCGGCACCATTTGAAGAGCTATTTGGCTTTGCCAGACCCTTTTCCCCATAAGCCAGAGTGGCTGCTCTAACTGGCCCTCTGCTCTTAAATTTGCTGTGCTTGCTACTTGATTGTTCTTACGCAGGGAGCCACCCACATAGTGTTCATCCTCCAAGGTGAGGCACCAATCCATCAATCAATCCATTCAAAAAAAGACTGCCATGTGAGCAACACCCCAAGTGTGTTGGCCACACACGGCAGGCATTAAATATCCATATGGCCACCAGGTGGCACTGAAGAACTTTGCAGAGCTGACACTTCATTTGATTGCTGGAAGAAGAGATGCCAGCTGGCCCAGCCAAGTCTCTCGATGAGCAATACCACAGCATGGGCAGCTTAGGAACTCTGGCCTTAATAGCAGAGAACCACTGTAAGGGGCCTGGGAAGGGGAAAAGACTGGTGCATAAGTTGGGCTGCCTGTGGCCTTGCAGGCACACTCTTCTCTTTCAGGGTAGGGTGTTCGGTCTAGTCAAGCCCTGTCACCAATATGTAACACCTTTGCCACTGTGAAACAAACAAGCTGGAGCTGCTCTGGCAACATTATGCCAGAACTAAATCCAGTTCTTATATGGATATATGGAATCCATATCCCAATATAGGTTCTTCATACATAAGATGTATGCACTTGCTATAAGGATAAGAAGATACTAGACATCTTAAAATCTTTGTTCTGCCTAATTCAGTCTTCATCCTGGTGCCTCCTAGGTGTTAGGGAATACAAGTCCCATCAGCCCCAGCAACCAATTTTCAGGGTTATAGTTAAAAACAGCTGGAGGACAGGTTGGGAAAGGTGTTTTAACCCAATGGTATCAGCTGTTGCTTTCAAATTACACATAGATACATTTTTATTACTAGCTCCACATTCATTTGTTCAAAATATTTATGAATTGCTTTATAACAGAAAGAAAGAAAGAAAGATACCTGAGTAACAAAATAGTAAAAAAATATATAAAGGCATGCTGATCATCTCTGGTTTTATCTTGAACATGTATTTCTATTATGCCTGTTGTGTCTAAGACACATCATATTTAATGCTGTAGTCTCAGATGCTCTTTAGAACAGACTGTTTTTTCATGTGAATTTACCTGTCTTTGTTGACTTCTGCTGCAGAGGATTCCGAATTCCAGTAAGACTGTGCTGATTTCTTCACTGCTTCCCAGGATTCTTTAACCTAGTTAGGGCACAATATGTATTGGCTTAGCTTGGCTTAGCTAATGTATTAAATACATTATTGATGGGTGAAGGACAACCCCAAGGATAATACAATTGTATGGATCTGGCTCTGAGATTTTAGGACAAGGTATTCTCAGTTGGTCTCCTTGAGGATGAACATGCATAGTGAAAATTCTTTCATGATGCCTCATGTCGTGGGCCCTTGCCAACCATGCTTTCTCAGTTGGGAAGCAGCATGGTGGTGGATATGGGATAAGTTGAGTTTTCTCTGGGCTTGTTACCTATGTATAAAATGGGTATGACAATGAGCTGCAATACAGGGTTTGTCCATATAGCAGGAACAGGGCAGACCTCAAATGTTTTGGACCTCAGCTTCCATTCTTACCAACCAGCATGGCCAGTGGTCAGGAATGTTGAGGGCTGTGGCCCAAACAACTGGTCAGTGGCAGCTCAGAGAAGGTTAGAAGAGTCATTGAAAGGGGATCTTGTAAAACAGCCATAAATAAGCCATAACATCACTTAAATTCTCAAATATTTAAAAATGTCTCAGAAAGAGGGAAACGGGACATTCTGGCAGTCAAGAGAAGAATCTGGAAAGGAAAGGATATGAACTGTTCTGAACCTCTTCCAACCTCCTTCTCTCTCTCTCTGAACTATTCTCACTAATAGGTAAAAAAAATCTAGTGAAATTGCAGTGATTGCACTCCCAGCGTCAGCTGTGCAGGGCTCAGAAGCTTTCGAATTCAGAGACTTCCATCATAGGAAGGTGTAATCCATAGAACTGCACCCTAAGCCAGGTGGTGGTGGAACCTGTTATTACTACTACTACATTTCCATACCATCCATAGCCAAAGCTCTCTGGGTGGATCACAACATTTAAGTCACCCATCCAGATTCCATCCCAGACTGATCCTGTTTAGTTTCCAAGATTAGGCAGAATCAGGCACTATAGAAGGAAGCCAGTTGCTCGCCTTCATATTTGATATACAACTTTTAAAGATTTTGATTGCCAGAAATGAGTTCCTGATGTTGCTTTACAGACTGGGAAACTCAGGTAGACTCAAGCTGAATCAGTGAGAGGCTGGGTGAGAAAGCCGAGCCTCTAGCCTTTCAAACCATACGTGGTTCACTTGAACCTCAACTATTAAGAAATTGTAGAAAAGAATTAATACCATTTCAGGTATGGTAAGATCCCAAGCATCCTTGCTGATAGCTGGATCCCAATGTTTTGAAGAAGGTGTTTGTCTCTTCAGTCCTAAAAACTGATTAGCTTCTTCTTTGATAGCAAATGGTAGCCCCAAAACTCCTGAAATAGCAATGACATACTGGTTACAGTCATGGATTTACACGAGATTCAAACTGCAAACATGATTAATAAATTAGTCTTAGAGCTTTTCTCCAAGAGGTATTTTTGTGCATTGGTCATTCCCTACTCATGGTTATTTATGTATTCTTTAGATTATTTCATGACCTTCCAATTTCACTTCCATTTTTAAACAACTTTGGTTAGTATTTTTGAGCAGGAAATGTGTGGCATTATTTATTATAGCAAAAGAAAACACATTTTTACTTGTATAATTCTGCTAGTCTTTGATAACACAGTGCCACCTAGAGGATATACAGGAAAGGGAACACAGTTTATGTAGTGCAGGGATCTCAATTCTGCATGGAAACTCAAAGTAGATTCAGTGGAAGAAGTATGTTGTGTCAAAGAGTCCTTATTCCACACCCTTAGAGTCAGATACAGTACAGACTGGCTGGAAGTGGAATGGAAACCACTGGCAGAATGAATGTCCCTTTCTCCTGCTGCACCCTGACAAACCTAAATGTTCTCTGGAAGGCGGGGAGAGGAGGAAAGCAAAGGGAAGTCCCATTGCACAAACTGAAGTCCACAAAATTGGATCCAACCCTCAATGTCCCCCTGACATTGAGATGCTAGGCTGTATTTCAGGGAAATGTTTAATTTAAAAAAAAAAATGCTTAGGCATTTTGACGCACCATATTACAATGCATGAATACATTGCACTGTATATTTATGTGTATTTGTATTCTGCAAAGGGCAATTTCAGTCTAAATGGGCAGGCTGGACTGCTTATTGCATTTATCTGTACTGAAGCAGAAGTGCATTCTAATACCAACATGTGCAGATATTTGTTCCTGCTTATCTTTGCATTTTAAAAGCATTGAACAAATTATTCTATATAACAAAGGCACAAATGGATACTACTTCACAGGCTCTATGCTGCATTTCTCCATCCTAAGAAATCCCCTCTGAGATACTGAATAACAGAGCCATCTGTAAGTCCTCTCCTGAAGCAGTGGGTGAGCTGGCGGTTGGTAGACACTCCTCCATATAAACAAAATCAAATCTCCACATTTAAAAATGGAGCATGTTAAGACACAGGTTCCTTAGCCGTTTTTCCTGACATGCCAGTTTCCTGCATCTGGGTAGGAAAATTTATGGAGGAACATTCCATCATATGTGAGGCCTGCTCTGCCTTCAGAAATGGTACTGCCTAGACATGGTTTTCTTGCTTCACCTGAGAATGAGAAATAAATCACAGGCTAAATACACCACTTCAAGACTCTTTTCAGCACAGACACGTAGAGGTGGAATGTTATAGTCATGTTCATCTTACTGCTGCGAGGGAACACTAACCTCCCCTAATTGTCCACCTCACCCCTCTCAGATTAACCCATACAATCTCTGCTAAGCCAAAAAACTAATGCCTGCGAGGCACAAAGAGAAAAAACACCAGCAGG